GTCACTGCTAGTTAGCGCGTGTCATGATATAGATTTACTGCTTTGGATTTCATATTAGCTTTCTTCCGTTTTCGCTGGTGTTTCGAAGCCTGCATGTCGTGCTTTTGAATTTTTGGTCTGTATTTCGGATGGTTTCTGGGGGCTATTTCAATTAAATTGGAAAGAATTTGGAGTTGATAGGTTTTCTGATTTTGTTTGCCTTCTCAATAACCTAACTGATAAATATGTTTAGCTGCAATTCTGAAATATATCCATCTCATAAATCATTTGGTCCTGCTTTCACATTTCCGTTCTGTTGTAAGTTTTGTTTCCTCTGTGACTTTCGAGAAAACTTATTGGCTGGTGGAGCCTGTTTTTGAATTTCATTTTGTGGCTGAAGCGAATTTCGTACATTTAATTTCTTTTCCTGGTGATCAAACTGAGTGTTTGTGAAAGCGTCTGCTTTTAGAGGAAGTGATAAGTTGAGAATTAGAGGTTGGTAGCATTCTAAGTGGAAAGGAGAGGCAGAACAAGTTAAAACAGTGTTCGGGGTGAATAAATTGTAAAAATGTTAACCGGAAGCAAAACTCAAAACTAGGTCTGATCCGGTATGCTTTAATACCAGCTGATTATTCAATTTTTCAACAAAACTTAGCCCAATCTGATTTTCTCTATTTCTCTTTTTTCGAGTGTTCTGAAATATACCCTGACATAGTGTTTCATTTTTGTTAGCAGATAGTTTGATGCTGGAAAGTCATGCCGACATTTACATCCGTAGCTTTTGATAGATTTCTTGAACCTGGAGCCTCAAATTACATGGCACCACCGGCGACAAATCCACCCATCTCAAAGATCGAAAGGAGGCATAGCACTCCAAACCCTAGCCAGCACAGGGAAATTGATGCCCCTAATCGGAATTCGGGGAGAGGAGTTCCTATTCCTCATAATTCAAAGTATGACAAGAGGATAAACGGTTCTTCAAGCACATCTGTTTCTGTCGGAAACAAACACCACCGGACTCAAATCTCCCCGGCACTCTACGCAACACCTGAGCCGACCCCACTTCCCGATTCCCCATCTTCATTCCCCCCGTCACCCTACATCGTCAACCACAAGCGGCGGGGCCCACGTCTCATGAAGAGCTTTTCTGAGTATGATGTGGCAACTTGGGAACGGGAGGCTGACGAGGGCAAGGTGAGTGAAAACGGGAATACTGATGAAAAGGAGGTGACAGAAAGAGCCTCTGAGGATGATGGGTTTGTTTCTAAGAAGGTTCCCGATGTTTTTCGTGTGGATGATGCCACTGTACCATCCGTTGCTAGAGAAAATCATTTGAACGGTACAGGCATTGACGAGAAAGGAAATTTAGATGCGGAGAATGGTCCGGAAGGCCAAAATGGCATGATGAAGTCTGTTGTTGGATTTGATTTGCAACAAGATGGCGAGGATGATGATTTTGCTGATCCACAGGACTCAATGAGTGTTAGGAGCGTTGGTGAAAGTGAGTGTATTGGTGGAGCCGAACGGTCTCTAAATTTGAGCACGCCATTAGCTGAGTTCTATGATGCTTGGGAAGGTACCTCCATTGCTATTTAATTTTTTGACTTGTTTGTGTTGCAGTGAAATCAGACTGTGTTGTCATAATTTTTCTAGTTATTTCTCAAACATGAAACACCATCCAAGTTATTCTTTATTATCTCAAGATATGCCTTCATGACTTGTTTGTATCTCATGCCTCAGAATTATCATCAGAGAGCGGCCCTCAGCTTAAGATTCCCGATATCGAGAGTGAGTTGCGTGAAATAAGGCTAAGTTTATTGATGGAGATAGAAAAGAGGAAACAAGCTGAAGAGACCTTATGTAATATGCGAAACCAGTGGCAGAAGATCCATGAAAAATTATCTCTTCTGGGTTTGACACTCCCTGAAGATCTAACAACTTGTTTGCTAGAGGGAGAACAACATGTCGATCCTGCTGAGGAGATCTGGCAACAAGTCTATATTGCCCGGTTTGTTGCTAACTCAATTGGGAAGGGAATCGCAAAGGCTGAGGCTGAAATGGAGATGAAAGCTCAGATAAAGTTGAAGAACTTTGAAATAGCTCGTTTGTGGGATAGGCTTCGTTATTATGAAGCCGTGAACCAAGAGATGTCCCAGAGGAACCAAGAAGTTGTAGGTGTGTTTTCTAAAGCATGTCTTTTAAATTAGTTATATAAGCATGCATGGTGCACGTTTATCATATTTTCTTCTAAATTTTAATGCCACAAGGAAATTAAATTGAGATGGTCTGTCATAGTCGATGATTTGTTTGGGTTCTATTTTCTATTTTGAAGAATATATCAATCATTTTTCTTTTGCTTTTAAAATTCAGTGATTAGTTTAATTTAGTTTTATTACACTCTGTTTCCCTAGTAAATTTTGTGGAGCTTGATATTGTTACTTTCACTCTTTGAAGATGCTGTCCATTTCTTCTTAAAGTTCCGTTCCTAGTTCTGCTGTATCCACAGTTTTATTCGAAAGATTCTTTTGATTGTTTAATGATGTTTCACTGCATTATCCTCCTTAGAAGAGTGTCACTGGGAGGCTTCTCTCTTGGTGATACATTTGAATTCTGACATTGTAATTTTCTTTTTTCTTTTATAAATATTGTCTATACTATATACAAATTGCATACTGCTTGTTCTCTCTTTTTAGTAGTGGCAAAAATTCTCATTTGGTCCTTCTTTTTTAATCTCTCTGCAGAGGAGACGAGGCGACTTAGGCAAATAAGGAAGAGAAGACAGAAATGGATTTGGGGTTCTATTGCCACTGCAGTTACACTTGGTTCTGCTGTCTTTGCCTACTCTTATTTCCACAGTGGAAAAACATCCGAAACCCCGTTGCATACAACTGTGTCACACTACTGTGACACAGAATAGTGATACATAATGAATTATCCTTACAACATAGAAAGAAATAACAAAAAAGGGAGTTCTATACTACGTTTGTGAATAAATACGAACAGTCTTTTTAACCTTTTTTGGCTTTCCCTTCTAGGAAGTGCTTAAGAGATTTCAGGATGTGTAAATTGAATTAAAAGCATAGTACTACAAGACAGGTAGAAATTGAATTAAAAATTGTTATGCATTTTCTCTGGGCGTTGATGGGGCAATTATTTTTACTTTGTTATGATTCTCTGGTCTCTCGGACGAGTCACTACTTTGCAATCCCCATTTTTTGTGAGACCATGAGCTTGTGTTTGTGACATATAGTTCTATGTTTCCCGCTGAAACTTCTTTTATGGTGCTTAAATCTTCTCTTTTGGCGTGGATTCCAAATTACATTTGTACCCAGCTGAAAGTTTTAAGAGAAGGTGACAAGCAGATTGAACCTTTTGCACCAATGAGTTCATGTTCACTTCTTTTCTTCTTCGTTTTCCTTTCACCCGCAGAAATGATTCACTGTAGATGTAAGTGGAATTGCCGAAGAGGCTTGTTATGGCTGCTTAGTGCTTACGAGCTCATGTATATTATAAGATTTTCTTGAAGCTCGTAGGTTGGCATAAGAAAAAGGAGACCTTGAAATACATGAGAAATGAAATTACATGATACAGCTGTGTAGGCTAAAAGTGCATGTGCCAAATTAGTAATAGAAAAGACCCATCTGGTTTTATAGAAAGAAGCTTTTAGAGAGAGAATGACATGCTGCACCATTTTAATAGTAACTTGTAAGCTTTTGGAGAAGTTTATGAAAAAGATACGATTTTCGAGAGAAGATGGCATCCTCAATTTTAACAACATGAGCATTTGGAGGCTTATAATAAGTTCTGAAATGCTTACACCCTCAACCTAACACCTTTTACCATCCTTCCTTCCAGGTTATCATTTGACCATTTAATTTTCACTTTTTGAACTTCTCAATTGCTTCTATCATGCGTCCTGCTATCTTGACCGTTCATTGAAACAATAGCCTGCATCTGAATTACCAGATCATATGCAATTAGGCATTCATCCCACAACACAACATCAATCTTCACAACAAATCACATTCTTCCATAACGAGTCCTCATTTGCCGAGTAACAGAATCCATCTACGATACCACAGAGCCCCACAAGACTAAGTTCGAATCACGGCACAACTCAACAATTCAACTGCTCGAAATACACACGTGCAATCTAAAACAGAATCACCAAAAATCAAAACGAAAATCATATAATAAATCCACATTTCAAACCAACGGATGTAAAGAAAAACGAAAGTTACTAGCAGAGTCAAAAGTTCTCCAAAATCCCACAACACACAGAGTCCCCCCCTCAAGCCATTATTTTAGCCGACCTTGCATAAAGACTGTCCACGACCTTCTCCATGTTCGCGATCGTCTCCAAAGTCGCCGGATAAATCTCGTCCGTCTTCGGATCATCAAATATGATCAAACACCCTGCCCCCTGGTCCAAGGTACCCGCAAACTTCTTGTCCAGGATCATCTGCGACAGCTTCTTCTCCACATGCTGACCTGGCAGCTCGATCAGCTCTGCCACATGTGCAATCTCCACTCTCGAGAAGGGCTCAATCAGCCTGCACAGGTTCTGCTCAAGAAGCGTATCGTACAGCGACGAGAGGTGCCTGTGAACGATCGGGTCCTCGTCCAGCTGGCACCTGAAATCACGCAAGGCCGTTTCAAAGAGCTTCAGCGAACGCTTGGCGTGGGCCCCAGCCACAGCCTTCATAGCGTCCAGCTCAGGCCCCTGATACTGCAGCCCCACCTTTGGTGACGATATGATCCCCGCCACGTCATCCGCCTGCCCCACCATAATCTTGCACAGCAGCATGTACTTGAGGCTGTAGATGGCCTGCGGGTCCTCGAGCGCATTGAAAGCCTCGAAAGCCTCGAAAAAGTAGCTGTAAGCCGTCTTGTAGTCCTTTTCCTCTGCGTGGAGGATCCCGCTCTGCAAGTCAATCGTTCCCTGCTGAGCTGGAGGCACGTAGATCGCGTTCGCTGCCGTGCGGGCCGCGGTCAGTGAGGCTTTTGCTTTCGGGAGGTTTCTTAACGAGAAATGGAGCTTGCTCTCGAGGAGGTCGATTTCGACGAGCAAAAGCTTGTCGTCGAGCCTGCGGACCTCTTTGATGAGGCCTGAGAGGAGAGCGAGGGCTTCCGGAAACTCCTTGTTCTCGAGGAGGAGGGCCGCTAGTCGGGCCTCGATCCTCTGGCGGAGAAAGGTCCGTTTTTCGGCACGAGTCCATTGGACGATCTCCTTGCAGAGGGAGATTTGGAGGTCGGATGTGCCAGGGATTTTGGCCACGGCATCGATTATGACGCGGACGATCTTGGCCGTCTTGGCCTTGGGGATGAGGGAGAAGAAAGGCCGGAGCTTGGTCAGGAGGCTCTGGAGGTCGTGGGCCCGGCCTTCCTGCCTGAGGAGGTCTGCAAGGTTGTTGATGGCTTGTTCTTTGATGCGCAGGGCCTCGGGGGAGGATGATGGGTCCTCGAGCACGCCGTAGAGGATTGATATGGCCTCAGAAGGGGTTTTGGCCTCCGAGGCTAGGAAGAGGGAGTCAGTGGTGGCGGAAGCGTGAGATGCAGACATTCTCTACAGATTTGGAGTTCTGTAGAGTTATGGATCACACTTAGAAAAGAAAAAGATAAAGGAAAAAAACACAAAACATATGAAAAAGCATAAATCTGCGATTTTTACTTTGGGTAGACTGTATGTATGACAAACTACCATCTCCAATAGAATCTTCTAGGCATTTAAATTGAACAGGAAATCCGAAATCACAGAAGAACTAAAAGTGTGTGCTCAGATCTTTTCCATTTTCTTTGCTAATTGGTTTGACACTCCGAAATTCAAGGAAGCTTCAGTACAAACGCGTAACTGGACCATGAGCTAGATGATGGATTATTTACTACTTGAAAAAGTTTGAACAACAAATCACTACATATCAAGAGGATTATCCCTGATTGTTGTAAGTAAACAATTCGCGCAGAGGTAATCAAACCAAGTGATAAGAGATCAGGTCACAATTTCATATCTGACTTTCTCGACAATGATTTCACATCAATATCTAAATTTCGATTTGCGCAGGTAGGAAAAGAAGATAATATAATCTATAACGTGATGATGATGATGAGTGAAAGGAAAATCAATACCGTATTACCGAAATACTAAGGAAGAACAGATGAAACAAAGCGCAGAATTTGAGGTAACTTACCGATAATTCACGCAAGAGTTGATCCACAACGAAGAGACGACAAAGCTTTTTTAGGGATTTACTGAAACGATTCCCAAATTATAAAACCTTTTCTTGGAGGGGGCGACACCCAGTTTGAGCCTTGTGAACGAAATGTTGGGCCGTTCCTAAAAAGCCCATATCTATACTAGAGAGAAAATAGAGGGAAAAATCTATCGTCTCTTATCTAATATAAAGATGTTTGGCACTGTAGCATAAATTTAGGTAAAATGGAGATCCACCGGCAAATCCATCAGCGGGAGATACACTCTCGATAGATCAGTGGTTCATACACATATATTAATTATAGAATCCAACGATTATAAGAAATAAAAGTATAGCAAGTTTAGCACACCCCCTCAGTTCGGAAAATGTCGGTTATGCAAGTGCTCACGATAGACTTGAGGGCTCGACTCCTCAAAAACCTAAAATTATACGAGAGAATTATCATTAATAAATTATCTTATTACTCGAAAGAATTATTGAGATTATCTCCCTTAATCAAAAAATTAATGATTAAGCACTTTATGAAATTTTCTTGTGGAACTTGACCTCTCGGTTTAAGGAAAAAGACTTGGAAAACGTTCACAAGGCTAAAATATGATTTCGGTACGAACAAATTGGTCGAACGGCTTAAAAATGGTTCAACGGCTCGGGGTTAGTGCACTGTCACCCGAGAGGCGGCATGCTCGCTGGCGTTGCTTACGCAGAGCGCTGGATCGCGCGCGCACCTGCTCAGAGACCCGCTACTGGTCGAGGCCTGGCAGCACTCACTGGCTTGGGGAGTTTGCGGGTTCAATGATGGCGGTTGCAGTTCTCGTGCGAGTCGACGTTGGTCCCGTGCGTGGCCTCGCGTCTCTCCACACGAGCGTGTGTGCTTGGATATTAATTGTAAAACTTGCATACGAATCAATATAATAATCTATGACATAAGTTGTAATAAATAATATATTTTTATTTTTAGAGATCATAACCAACTAATGGACTGAAGATTATTATTATTATTATTTATGTGTTGAAAATATGCTGAAGTCATGTGTAACCAAAAATATTGGGGCAAAAGTGTCCAACAATTATTATAACTAAAATATGCTAAAATCATGTTAAAAACCCGAGTTTCCAAAATTAAAAATAAAAAGTGATTGCAGATATGGATGTACATTACAGTACATTGAAAATTAAAATAAATGAAAAATATAATATATGTGTGTAACCGAAAAATCTGGGGAAACGAAAAAGAGTTTAATTAAAAACTGTGGAGATACACAAACTACACACCAAGCTTTTATTAATGATATTGACACATAGCACGCATTAACCTCGTCATAAACTTAACAACAGTTTTGCATGTGATCAAATCAGCTTTGGTTCACATAGAGTCATCAGTCTCATCTGAATCACTCCCATCAGGGTCAGGCTCCCCACCTACCATTCCAGTTTCAGGCACATCTGGCTTTGCTGAAGATGTTGAAACCACATTCTTACCAGTATTAGTGGCATCAAACTCTTCTGGTGCCATTTCAGCAAGTAATTAATCAGTCAAGGACCATCGAAAACTATATTCAAATTATGCGTTTATGCAATGAAAAAACCATAACACACAGGTCATGTGAAACGATTGGACTACAATGCTAAAAAGAGAAGAAGCTAATGACAAGATTTAATGGGATCTTATACCTAATAAACAAGACCTTTTTTTGCATGGAGATGTATTATAAGAGAAAGTGCATTTTTGTTATCCACCCACATCGGAGATAGAGAGACATATACACACATGAAGAGTAGCAAAATAAAAGGATATCAATATTCTCAGCTGTTCCACCAGCCATGATGTTTTGCAAATCTTTCTCGACACGACGGACAAGCTCCGGCTGCCAAACAACACAATATCATTAATAAGTGTACTCGTAGATTATAAAATACGTGTAACACAAATAAACATCACGCATTTGTAGACAGTAATAAATGGAAATCTTATGTTACATTTAAGTCGGGCTCCCGCCTAAATCTTCGCCTTCGAGCATCCCTCATTGGTGGAGTAAGCCCATGCCTGTACTCCCCTGTTTCTGCACTGTCACCCTCCTCTCTCACCATTATCATCTATCACGACTTTAAACTGTTTAACTTGAC